TTTTGCACTCTGGTTCAAACATTTTCCAAGGTAGATATAAATCTAACTTGTGCTTAACTTTTGTCCCCTGTCAGTGACTGAAAAAAGCATTCCAGGGAATCCCATGCCTTACTTGGACGACAGTGAAAGACAAGCTGCAGAATTGGTTGATGAAGATGATAAAATTGTTGATGTACCCTATTTCAGTCTGGAAAGCATACTAGCTGCTACAAATAACTTCTCAGACACAAATAAACTTGGAAGAGGAGGATTTGGCCCAGTTTACAAGGTAACTATACATCTTGTCCGTGTTATCACTCCAATTTCTACTAGTCTGTGCTCCATCAAACACTAGCTTCAATTGGTAACTCTTGCAGGGAATCTTCCCTGGAGAAAAAGAAATTGCAGTAAAGAGGTTGTCAAGCCACTCTGGTCAAGGCATGGAGGAATTTCGAAATGAAGTTATGTTGATTGCTAAACTACAACATCGGAACTTAGTTAGACTCTTGGGCTACTGCATCAAGGGACCTGAAAAAATTCTTCTGTATGAATACATGCCAAATAAAAGCTTAGACACCTTTATATTTGGTTAGTCTTCGAAGCTTTTGTTTGACTTTGTTTCCATTTTGTTTTAGTCGACTAGATATCCCCCTTCCTTTTTGGAGTCATCAAGTCCAACCAAATGTAATTTTAGATACCGCCCTTTTATTGCTAGACCATCCACTAAATTGTTTACCACTTTGTAAAGATGAAGGACGCTGCATCGTATTGGACTGGAACATTAGATTCAACATCATTCTGGGAATAGCACGGGGACTTCTTTATCTTCACCAGGATTCAAGGTTGAGGATTATTCACAGAGATTTGAAAACAAGCAACATTCTATTAGATGAAGAGATGAATCCCAAAATTTCGGATTTTGGCTTGGCAAGAATAGTTCAAGGCAAAGAAACAGAAGCAAATACAATAAAAGTAGTTGGAACCTAGTAAGTTCCTTGCGTTTCTCAGCCTGTCTCATGAAATTTATTGTTAGGTTATTGCTGTTCTCATGATTGCTCGTGATGCAGTGGCTATATGTCTCCAGAGTATGCAATAGAAGGTTTATTCTCAGTGAAGTCAGATGTATTTAGCTTTGGGGTAATTATACTTGAGATTGTTAGTGGTAAGAGAAACACTTCTGGATTTTATCGGTCTGAAGAAGCCTTGAGTCTTTTAGGCTATGTGAGTGTATGCATTTCTCAAATCTTGTATCTCTACTGAGATTTTGAGACATGAGGTGTTTATTTTAAAACTCTTTCAGGCTTGGAGATTGTGGCAAGAAAGGAAAGCATTGGATTTAGTAGACAAGAAGTTACTGGAATCATGCAATGGAACTGAAGTCATGAAGAGCATAAACATTGGTCTCTTATGTGTACAAGATGATCCCAGTGATCGTCCCACCATGTCTAATGTTCTTATTATGCTCAGTAGCGAAACAACTACTCTTCCAAGTCCGAATCAACCAGCTTTTGTAGGAAGAAGACGCACTTCTAGTACATCTGCATCTTTGTCTAGTAAGGCAGAAACAATCTCCATCAACGAGATGACTATCTCTGCAGAAGACGGCCGATGAAGGCGTTGATTGTTTCATTGTATAGTCCAGCAACTGAAGTTGTACTATCTCGAACGCATTCGCTGGCTTTGCTATCTTGAGTCCGATAGCGGAACTTCAAGCTCGTTTGTATAGATCACTACGGCATGAAAAAAGAATGGAAGGGATAGATTACTACGTGTATATAGTGTTTTCAATGCCAAGTATAGAATACACAATAATTTGTTCTATAGTTATTTTTCGTAAAAAGTGAGTTAGATTATGAAAAAGATATCTTGTGAAATTGGACAAAAATTGACATAATTTTGTTAAAAGTTAGTTACATTACGAAGAAAGTGAGTTACATCTTATGAAATTGGATAAAAATCGGTACAAATGATTGACATGACAACCATTGTGCCCCAAGTCCTATTACATTACATCTATTTTATGCAACATTTTAATTACCTCCATCATTTGTATATCTAACTTCTACATATTCCACTATTGACTGAAGTCAGTGAAGTGGGATGTAGAGAAGTGGTGGATAAGACTAGCAGAAACGTCCCAGTCTCTACGCCATTGATTTGACAAATGTGGGCCTTTTGGACAATGCAAATTTGCAAAGTCGCTCATTGGTTACTGTTTCATTGGTCCCAATTATTAAGTTAAGTTTACAAATGAATGGAATAAAGGAAACTTGAAAGATGATTGTGTTTGAAGAGCAAAACTTTAGTTGGATAAAAGTACAAGTTCTGCAAAATGTGAAGGAGAAAGGTTTTAACAAGTCCTTTCTATAGTTTCTGCTGCCTTTGCTCCAACAACTTACATTTGCAAATAAAAAGCAACTTATTGCTCCTTCTGGCTGTATCCTCAACCTCCCCTGGCAAATACGTCAAGACGTAATGTCCAATATTCAATTTTCGTCTTAACAGCTAAATTTGCATGCTAAGATGTTAACCAAATAGAAGGAAGGGTTTTTCTATTCTTTACCTTGAGGACATAGGATAAGCATACATAGCGTAGGGACGAGCTAACTATAAATTCCAAACAATATTATTCACCCCTTGAATTTAGCAAATTTTAGTAAAGAAAATTTAAAATTTGACACGCAATTAACTATTGGACCCATCTCTTATCATGTGCCTTTAGAATACAGATAAAAGAACCTTATAAGCAATTATAAGGGGGAAATTTTTAAACCGAAAAGAGTAGCACTAATAAGCCAAACTAACAGAATTGGGAAAAATATTATGTTTTATGGTAGATTTTGAATTGAGAGAGAGTGAGAGAGAGAAAAAAAAAAGTTAGGAAGGAAAACTGCTAATCTTAATCCATGGGATTGACTAATTTTAGATTGATGTATTTGTAAATGATAGTAGGTTTTTGTGTAGATCATTGTACATTCTTCTTTATTAAAAGAGAAGTCAACTTGTGTGATCATGGGTCTGGCAAAATTTGCCATCAACCTTATTAACTAAACTAAGTGGAAGGATAGTTTTTTTACGTGCAAAACTAGATGTCAGGATAGTTTCCTTGTGTGGCTTCTCGAAGCTGCACGTAGTGATTCCTGGTAGTTGCCAGTTAGTTTGTGTATGATTCTGTATTTATCAAGGTTACGGTATGATGGTGGTTCAATCCCCATCAGATTCCCTCGCCCCCTAGGAGTAGGAGTCCGCTAGACATGTGTCGTTATGATTACAAAAAAAAAAGGTTACAGTATATATAAAAGGATGACTTTTGACCCCAAAAGAAAAAAAAGTGAGATTTCTACCTCTATCACTTTAAGATTGTAAAACACCCAACAGCACTTTTTACTCCGCAGACAACCTTAAATTAAAATGAGTTAGTTTAAACCCTTGATCTTAATATTTAATTCTCTTTATTAGGGCTTCCATCTTTGGAAGTCAAGACAGAAACTTCCTTAGCGATTCTGGTTGACCAATAAAAGCTACAAAACTTAGTCTTTTGTTCATAGTTGGGAAGAAAGTGCAATCAAGATGCTGTGTTGTTTCTCCAATCATCAACTCAGCAACACATTGCAATTAAGCTTCCGTATTTCATTCATAGTTTGCATGAACAAATCAGATAGTAATTTACTGCCAAGTTTGTCAATAGCATCAAGAATGGAAAAGCCATCAGCAGGACTGAAACATGCAGTTTCGAGGAGCCACTAATTTTCAATTACAACCTCCGTAATACCCTATAATTTTCAATGACCGTTGGATTATGTAGGAAAACCACTAATGTCAAGCAAAATTTCATCAAAGACCTAAATCATTAATCAACTTTGTTTTCTCTGAAGTTATTAGACTCGTATCTAAATTTTGTGAGACAGGATCCTGAAATTATGATTTGGCAGTTGTGTACTTGACCACGACCATTCTGATACCTGCATGAGGTTCTATTCGGATAATCTTCACGTTGGACCAAGGTAAACTCTTCTAGAACAGGGAAGATGGACAAACCGAAGGCATCCAGATTACTCTCATTGACAAATTTGGCTGATTCGATGAACAAAATTTTCAAGAATTCCCCGTATAAGAAGCCATGTTGGTTCAACCGAGATGGGAGGGACGCTTCTTTTCATTGTGATTTGATTAGTTAGCACAAACCTCACTAAAAGGTCTCAACACCATTAGGTTGTAGGAATATGAAACTTTTGTTCTGACACAATACAACGTTATCAAGAAATTTCATGGCTGATGCTAAGTAATTATAATCTGAAAGCAAAAATGTTCTCTCGGACAAATTGTGCTATATCCGCTTCTACCATGAATAGGATTCAGTTATGCCATTCTTTTCATAAGGAACCAAAAAAAGGACCCACATGCAGGCATGAAAAGAAAATCTGAGAATCCTAATTGATTTTGGCACAATCGGTCAGACATTGAAGTAAACTGACTAATTAAAGCTGATTTCTAACACCATGAATATGGCTAGAGACATGCTATTGATAAAAAAGTCAAGAAAACCAGTCGAAAATTTGCTAAATTTGATCTTGGAGCATCATACCTTGACCTTAATGGGCCATATACAGATAATTAGATAGTGACGAAACTAGGGTCTATGACCAGTGGAGGCAGTATCCTTAGATTGATACCACTGTTATGTAAAGAGAAGTTTCGTTAGGATTGTGTATTTATTTTGAGTTTTTTTATTTTAGACTTTCTAAAGTTAAATCTTGTTCAAATCCCATTCAATGTTGTATGTGAATAGCTTCAAAACAATTGCAATGGATAATAATCTAAAAGAATATTGGTATATTTGGGGGCCAAATCTGTGGGAAGAATATATATATATACATATGCGTGTTCAAAGATTCAGCCCTTAATACATATATATATACATATCTCCTGGTTCAACTGTTTCAATCCGTCATTGATTCCTTTACTTTCACGCAAATAGCCTGCAAGCAATCAATGGGGAGACAGAATCATTGGGTTTGAGGATGCAGCTGACAGTACTGGATCTTCTTGGCGTACCAAAACTAGACCTAGGCAGGTCCGACAGAAACGAGCAGAGCACATCGGAGGCAGAGCAACATAGTGACGAAAACTCACCTGAAATAGTGTCGATTCATGGAAAGCTTGGACTCGGGAAGACGCCGCTTGCAAGAAAGGTCCTGAATGACCCTTAAGTTGAACATCATTTTTTCGCTCGCATATTTGTCAGTGTTTCGAAGGATTACAACAAGAAAGAAGTGCTTATTAGTGTACTGAGTGCCTTCATCAAGGACATTAGGGATCATAACATGTCTGTGAAGGATTTAGTTGCCAAGGTCCGAGAGACACTGAAGTACGAGTATTTGATTGTCATGGACGATGTTGGGGACACAAAAGCATGGGAAGATCTCAAGGATGCTTTTCCAGATTATAGCAAGGGCAGTAGGGTGTTGATAATTACTCCACAAGTGTCTGTGGCCCAGCGTGCTGCAACAAAGACTGATCCCTATCCATTGCGATTTATGAAGCAAGAAGAAGCTGAAGAATTACTGAGGACGAAGATTTTCAATGAAAATGAATGTCCACAGAAGCTGTGACCTGCTGAATCAAGAATTCTGAAAAAATATGGCCGGCTACCATTAGCAATGGTTGTAACAGCAGGTATTCTGAGGAATGATCCAGAAAACGAGAAGTGGTGGGAGACTGTGGCTCAAAAATCACTTAGCATGAATGAGTTAGATAGTGATACCCAAAAACAATTAATGGATGATTTAATAAGACGGAGTTATGATAACTTGCGTCACATGTACAAGTAGAGCTGTTAAACGAGCCGAGTCGAGCTCGAGCATAGGACAATCGAGCTCGACTCGAACCTCTAATCGAGCTAGCTCGAGCTCGCTCGATTAGTAATTCGAGCTTCACAAGGCGCTCGAGATCGACTCGATATATTGGTAGAAAATTCGAGCTCGGGCTCGAACTCGAGTTTGAGATCGAGCGAGCTCATCGAGCTCGAAGTTCGAGCTCGAGCTCGTTTACGGGAGACACCACATCAGGTCCTGCCACACTCGTATTTAGCCTAACAAAAGAAGATAAACTTTCCCTTATTTATCATCTCCAATTCAACATTTCCACAACACATCAGTGACCAAAATGTCCAAAACAGATTATCTATCGCGGATCCGTGACGGTACATGAGCTCAATTGCTTTATATACTTGGGCAAAATAAATATAAATTAATAAAAAAGTTTCCATTCACAAATTTTAGTCCAGACAAAGCAAGAAAACTTTACGATCCGGGGACAAACTTGGTGGCATAGACCAGGCATTGTTAGCAACTGGGTTGTCAAGATGGTCCAAGAGATTTTCAAGAGGGCCTTTGCCAGTGACAATAGCTTGGACAAAGAAGCCGAACATGGAGAACATTGCAAGCCTTCCATTCTTGATTTCCTTCACCTTAAGCTCAGCAAAGGTAACAGGGTCATCGGCTAGACCAAGAGAATCAAAGTAGTGGCCACCGTAGAGATCATTGCCCTCTTCGACGCCTTCAAGACCATTGATTCTATATCCTTCAACAAGACCCATGAGAACAACTTGGAAGCCGAGCACTGCCAGAATGCTCTAAGCATGGACAAGGTTGGGGTTTCCCAAGTAGTCAAGCCCACCTTCTGAGAAGATCTGTGCTCCGGCTTTGAACCACACTGGCTCCTTAAAGTCCACTTTAAGATATTTCTCAAGGACTTCTGGGGTGATGCATCCCAGTGCTCCGTGCATAGCCCCTGGCTCTACCGAGGTGGCTCCGTATGGTGCTGCTCATGGAGTCACGAGAAGGAGGGTGCGGCTGCTCCGTATGGTGAGTCGGTGACGGTGGTGAGAATGGAGGGTGCGGCTGCGGGTGTGGAACTGGAAAAGAGTTGACAGAAAGAGGAATCAGGGGAGGTTAGGGATGGCGCCTGGCGGTGAGAATGGAGGGTGTGTGCGGCGTGCGGTGTGTGACTGAGAATGGAGGGTGACGGCTCATGGCTGCTATGCGGGAAAAGGTTAGAGTAAAAGAGGAAAGAAAAATTAGGGCTACAGAGTACAGACGGGAGATGACTTAGGTTTAGTACCACATATACGATGAAATGACGACAATACCCCTACCCTTCGAGCCTCACGAGCTTCAACGAGCCGAGCTGTGCTCGGCTCGTTTAATAAACGAGTATTGAGTAGAGCTCGAGCTCGGCTCGTTTCTCTCTGTAAACGAGCCGAGTCGAGCTCTTATCGAGCCGGGTCGAGCTCGGCTCGCGAGCTACCCGGTTCGATTAACAGCTCTATGTACAAGTCATGTTTCTCTACCTTGGTGTCTTCCCTGAAGACTTGGAGATCCAAGTTTCAAAATTGTTCCAATTGTGGATAGTGGAAGGCTTCATTCCCCAAATTGAGAAAGCAAGCATGGAGGAAATAGCAGAGCGATGTTTGCGGGAATTGGTTGACAAGAATTTAGTGATAGTGAGGCAGAGAACCTTAAGTGGTCGGATTTAAGACGTGTTTAGTCCATGATACACTGCGTGACTTCTGCAAAAGGACAGCAAAAGCTGAAAATCTTTTCCAAGAATGTGACATGGGGACGGTTTCATCTTCCAGCCATCGCCTATTCTGCATTAACTCTCAATTCGCGAACTACATTTCCAATCAACAGCTTGCTCAGAATGTCCGCTCATTCTTGAGCTTTGGTCAGGAAGAAACTACACTTAACCAAGATCTCTGCCCAAATGTATTTAAGCAGTTCAATCTATTCCGAGCGCAGGATATTCTGTCCACAAAGCTCCCTAGACATCGTTTTCCAACCCAACTGCCTAACCTTGTTCTCCTGAAATTCATTGCCATCTGTTGTGAGGTCAATATCCTTCCCCAAAAAATTCCTAGCCTACATAACTTGCAAACTCTTGTAGTTCACACCACATCGCCTACCCTTGACATACAAGCAGATATTTGGGCAATGACAAAACCAAGGCATCTACATACTAATACCTCCACAACCGTGCCTAAATGTCTGGAGCAATCTCCTAGCGGTGAAAACCTACAAACTCTATCTACCGTTTCACCTGAAAGTCTTACAAAAGATGTGTTTAAAAGGGCTAAAAACCTGAAGAAGCTTGGCATATGTGGGAAGTTAAACAATCTTGTGGAGGGCAATGGCGAGTCTAGTTTGTCTGACAGTCTTTGCGAACTGGACTCCCTTGAAAATTTGAAGCTATATGGTGATGATGTAAACTCCAAGCTGCTTGCCCTTCCTCAGGCACACAAATTCCCTCCAAGGCTGAGTCTACACAACACAAGTCTACCTTGGGAATCTTGACGTGCTCACGTTGAAGGGCTATGCTTTTAAGGGAGATTATTGGAAGACTAAGCGAGGGGGTTTTCCTTCTCTGAATTTTCTTCATTGGAGCTACAGATTTAAGCGCGTTGGGATGCTAAAGCCAATGACTTTCCAGAACTCAGATGCCTTATTCTCTAGCAGTGCAAAACACTAGAAAGGGTCCCATCTGACTTTGTTTACATGAAGAAGCTAGAGATGATCAAAGTTGAACATACCAAGGATTCAGTAGTTTCATCTGCCAGGAGAACTGTGCAACTACAATTGGAAGTGCCTTTGCAGCAAAAGAGTAAAAAGACTAGCCCAGTTAAGCTCATTTCCTATCCTCCAGAGTACTGACCGCCAAGCAAACTGCTCTATAAGTGCTTCTTTAACAGGTAGTAAACTTGGACTTCCACTCCTGAATCTTAATCCATCATCTTTTGCAAACTTGAAACAATTATTTTGCAGGATTTCATGTTTGCTAGTTTTTATCTTCAACTCGCCCGAACGAATTCATAATGTGGAGGCACTGAAGCTTCTATCTCGATCTTTCGTGTATCTTCACCATTCTGCAGTAATAAAGGCCTGGTACCTGTCTCTGGGCAACAACATTTTTTTTTTCTAGTATCTTTGAAAATGTCAAATTTTCTTTTGAGCAATTATTGTGATAGAAATAAGGCCATAGATCTTCTGGCATATTCAGTGATTGAAATAAGGTGCAAGATATTCTCTCTCCGCCGCGAAACTCCTGCTGCATTGAATCTAGAGTCTTGTACTTTTCTTCCTGTTAGAGGTTAGGTTTTTACCTCATCTTGTTTCCTTGTATTATATTGTTAAGTTTATGTTGAATCTTCTCTGATGTATTTTACCCTTCCTTGTGTTAATTGATGAAATTGCTATAGTTTTTCTTTGGAAACTAAGGAAGAACTACGACCTAGTAAAGTTGCTTTCCAGCTTCGAGTTTCCTTTGTCTTGCTCCTCTAGCTAAAACGTGTTGCTTTCACTTTGTATTACATTGAAGACTAGTACAAAGGAGTCATGGTGATGAGAATTTAGGGAAAAGCTTTTATTTAGTACTATTGATCGCAACTTGCAATGAACCACCAATGGTTGTGTTTATACCGATCGATATCCATAGCTCCGTACTTACTTCAATTGATCAGACTTATATTGCTTCCCATTTCTTAGTTCCTCATTATTAAGTTAAACTGGTAGCTTATCTTACGAATTATGTGAATTTCCAATTTAATTAACCTAGTTTCATATAGACCGAGTCATTTTCGTAGTGCCAACTTTGGAAGTAAATAGACCAGTTTGAGTATCCTAATTTGGTTGAATATCTGACTAATTTTTTTTTTTAACTGGTTTAGAAAATGGAAGAGCAAATATTAAGATAATTCATCATACGAGAGTTTTTTTTTTTCCCAAGAAAGAAAAGGAAATTTTGAGTACTGGAGTATCAATTCCTCAAATACAGTTTAAACAAAGGACAGTACCGTTGTCGTCCCTTATTCACAACCTGCCTTGCAAGAACGCGAACCGAATTCAACAGAAGTATGAACTTGATGATTAAGACAATAAGAGCCAATCTACAACTAGATCCAAGTTCTCCTAGTCGTACGTCCTAACTCCTCTCCAAATCATGACCTCATTTTGCACATCAAAGATGTTGTTTGGACCTATCTAATAGGTGCTCAAGCATACCACCACTAATAGCTAGATTTGCCAATCAGCACAGCATGGTCAAAGGCTCAACTCAAGCTTAACTAGTCTGAGGGGTTTCGGGAATTGAGGTCGAACTCGATATTCTGGTCAAAAGTTGGTTGAGCTTTTCCAGCTTTTGTATAAATGTACAAATAATATAGATCAATGCATGTTCGAACAACAACAAAGAGAATACTATGAAATGACTGTAAAATTAATTAGAAAAATGCTTCAAATTATGCTTGTAAATCACTTTTCTTAAGGCTTTATTCGTCCATTATATTGTGCTAAAGATTAAGAACAAATATTCTCTAGGATAAGATAAACTTTGATTGCAAAACTTTGACTAAATTGTTACAATCTCCAAAGAACAAAGAAGATAAGAGCAGAAATTTTTATAGAGTTTGTAGATCTTTTTGTCTACAGCCAAAAAAGACCACACAAATTGATTCATGTAAATAATATTTCATGTTTTCTAAACAGTTATTAACCGTTAGAAACATGTCAGGAATTGTATCTTTTCAAATGACGGTTGAAACCTAAAAAGTTGTGAA